GGTTCAAGATGCGCCGGATTGAGTGCAGGATCAGCGCCGAGAGTCGGCGCGAATGTACCGCCGATGCACATCGGGCAATCGTCGGCCATTGCCGGAAGAGGATCACGGTCAGCCTGGCCGAATCCGGAACAGATTTCGGCTGCAAAAGGCTTGTCCGCGGCCATCGCCTCGGCAATCGGGTGGAAGTACGGCACAAACAACACAAACAGCGCCAGCCCATTAATGTGGGCTTGACGGAAGCATAAAATGCGGCTAGATTTGCCGCCTTTAGTAAAATGAGGAATTGATGCCAACAATTAACCAGTTAGTTCGTAAAGAGAGACGCGATAAAAAATACAGAAGTAAATCTCCAGCTTTAACCAGCTGCCCGCAAAAACGGGGTGTTTGTACTCGCGTATACACAACAACACCGAAGAAGCCGAATTCTGCTTTGAGAAAAGTTGCAAAGGTTAGACTTTCCAACGGATACGAAGTGATTTCTTATATTCCAGGTATTGGACACAACCTTCAGGAACACAGTGTGGTCTTGATTCGTGGTGGTCGGGTGAAAGATCTTCCAGGATGTCGTTATCACATCGTTCGTGGTGTGCTTGATACACAAGGTGTACAAAACAGACTTCGTGGTCGCTCTAAATATGGCACTAAACGTCCTAAGAAAACTTCTTAATTAAAATCGGAGAATTGAATGTCACGCAGAAAGGGCACTTACAAAAGAGAAATTATACCAGATCCTATTTACAATGATGCTTTGATTGCAAAATTCGTAAATAGAGTCATGTTGTCTGGTAAAAAAAGTACGGCGCAAGGCTTAGTGTATAGCGCACTTGATGAACTCAAGGGAAAAGTTGCAAATGAAGAGCCGCTTTCTGTATTTAAAAAAGCAGTGGAAAATTGCAAGCCTCAACTTGAAGTTCGTTCAAGACGCGTAGGTGGAGCCACTTATCAAGTTCCAGTTGATGTGCGCCCCTCTCGTCGAATCGCTTTGGCGATCAATTGGATTGTGGCT